AAAGTTCCTGGTGACACATCCCTGACTAACTTGATCCGACTCAACAAGGAACAAACTCCATGGGAAATAATTTTTATGGCTTTTAGCCTAACTCGATAAAACGTTCGAATTTAACCGATTAAAGTTTCCAATAATTAAAATTTAAAATAACACTTTATTGTGGGTCTGTTCGTCCCTCACACAACTAATGCAGGAAAATGTTTGACACAGGAAATTTATGATGTCAATGTTTTTATTGTTTATCTCATATGGAACGTGTATTTTCCAGTGATAGGCTTATATAATAGCCTATCTATAATACTAAACAATATGGAGCATGCACAAACACATTCATTTATTCTATATTTTAAAAAATTATTAGAATACTGAAATTTGGTCTGTTTTCTCAATTAACCCTTTTTTCGGACAATTTCTTTCTACTTCCTCTATAATTTTCAATTTTTCAACAACAGTTCCAACTTTTCTCAATTGTCCAAACATGATCTTTATGTGAGGCCCCAAAAATGAATTGAAATTAAATATTTATTATTAAATATTTATTAAATCGAAACTAGAAAAAAAATTGTCTATTGTTAAAAACTAATCAAAGATCGAATTAGTTGTGTTAGTCATATGAAACTGCGACGAGAGAAAAAAAAAACGCTATTGATGTAAACGGAACGCAATAATTTTAAATGATTAATAATTGTAAACAAATGACCTCCAGTAGAGATGGACCTTTGAAGAGTCGTTCATATGCACATAATTAGAACATAGAAATTTTGAAAAGAGGAAAGATTTAATGACGAAAAAGGACATCGCATCGTGTTGTTAAATTTCAAAAACGTCACAGACTAGACAACAATGGTGGAAAATATGAGCACAAGTTTCAAAGTTCCATCAACATTTTGCATCCAGAATAACGGATGGTGTCAAGTAGATTCTTCAAGGCGGATCCTTCTCGTAACTCGAAAAGGAATCGTCTTTCGCTTAGAGACAGATGAGGGAGCCAATCAGAATAAACAAATTAGAGAATGGAGATTGATATAATCCCCGATCCTGAAGGACAGGGAGACCTCTTCCGTAAACTGTGCTACGGAGTACCTGCACTCCGGAAAGTCCAAAGCAAAAAACTCACTGGGCGTTGACGCACAGAAGATAAAGATTCCGCACTAGTGACCATCGAGAGAGCCGTGCCGCCGACGCTTACTGACAAGTCTCCTTACCTGCCGCAGCCCCGGGGCCCATCTCCGAGGGACGATAAAAAAACATCCTCGACACTTAAAACTTACGAACATTTAATTGATTAAGGAACTTTGTGCATAGTGTAAGTTATTTCCTGTTAAATTAAACAGATTTTTGTCAGATACTTGTCATCTGTGTCTCCTCCGCCACACCCACGCGCGAACGACCCTAGATCATCCTGACGTGAGATTAACGATTCCCCCTGGAAGTCAGCAAACTTACATTTATCACAAGACAACGTACTAATTTTTACTAGTATTTCTAGACTATAAGAAAAAAATGCCACCAAAACAGTAAAGTATTTTGCAAAGCAGTAGACAAAAAGTAGTCAGAAATTACAATAAAAACTGGTTAGCTGTAGTCAAAGGTTTAACTAAAAATAAGAGAATGTCAAATCTGGCATTCTTTTATTTTTAGTACATGAAAATCAGTGTTTCCATTTAGCAATTTATTATGAGTAGAATGACTGATGCAAGATAACATTTTTCTTTCAGTAAAATACAGAATAAACATTGCAGGAAAATGAACAATGCAAAAATGAAGAATACAGGAAAAATTAACATTATATATATGGATCCTTATTTGGAACTGGAGAAAACAACCGATAGATGCGAGAAAACAATTGATATGGGAATGATAGATCGAGAATGCACTGTATTCTGATATTTGTACTTATAATAAGGATGAACTAACCATGGTCTTACTATGCTGAATTAATCAACTGTTAAAAGTGTATAATCTAATAATTAAGCTTTAATTACAATTTATATTAACTTTTTTTATAAATTTGTCAATACTCCTATTACGTCCAAATACATATCTGACGATCAATCTAATCTAACAAATATTTTGCAAAATAGAAGCAAACAGGATAATTAAATCTATTAGTATGCTATATTAATATTGCTGTTAATTAATTTTATATTTATGATTTAAAATATAAAATATTTTATTAATATTAAAATCATAATTTAAACAACAATTTTCCATACAAAACAGGAATTATCTATTAGTACAAATTCATTTGTAATCACCACAATCACTTTTTCAACAACAAAATATTGACATTTAAAAGCATCTTCTTGAAATTGAAGTAGCTAATGTGCAAAAAATTTTAACAAAAATGCAAAATGACTTAAAATAGTAAATCAAATTAGCACATAAATGGATGCACCAAAATAAATTAAATCTAACTATCAATTGAAATGTCAAATTAAAATTAACGTACACAGAATTTAGTTAATTAGATATTAACAAGTTCAATGCCTTGTTAATTAACTAGTTGAGATTAATAGTCAGAATTAATCCATAAAACAAGGCAGTTTTGCATTTATTTTATTCAATGAGCAGTTTATTTTATAATAAAATAAATCTAACTTTGAAAAAATGTAACACTGACTATCAATGAAGTTACATTTTACTCATAAATCAGCTTTATTTGTTATTCACTCAATCTAAGCTGTCTCTTTAAGAATATTAAAAAGATTATTTCAAACAGGAGAATAGGAAATTACCACTAGCATAAACTATTCACAAAGTTTTTACTGGACTTGTTTACTACTGTGGTGTTACTGTTCTAATTTTGTTGATTATTTTAGAATCCTATTAATAGAGAGGTTGAGGCGCACATTTTAAACGTGTAAACATGTACGTGTGACGTTCGGCGCCGCTTTTCCGTAAGCCTAAAAGTTTGACAATGGTGTTTGGATAATCGGTGGAATCACGCTCGACATTCCAAACACCATCGTCAAACTTTTAGGCTTACGGGAAAGCGGCGCCGAACGTCACACGTACACGATTAAAACGTGCGCCTCAACCTCTCTAATAATGTATATGCAATAACTTGTAATAATTGTCACCATAGACTGTTTTGTATGTCATCCAACTGATAAGGGCCAGTACGGCCGAAATGCATTTTGGGATAAATTAATTAAATAGGCTGGATGTGTAATAAGCCTGTTCATCAGTCATATGTAACTAAGTAGTTTTTGAAATTAAATAATACAAGCAAGAAGCTTTTTAATATTGAAGTATCAATTGCTACAGTTGTTTTAACATTTCACTCCAAATTACATAATATAAACTTTAATAAGATCAATCTTCATTAAATCTGAGAACAAAAGCTGTTAGATTTAAAACTAATTTTAAACTGGGAGGAGAATTATACAATTCTTTCCGTCCATTTAGTTTTTATCAGATAGTTAAAAAAAACAATTCTTATAAATGATCAGTTATTTATCAGCAAATCATAAGAAATACATAGGTGCTTCAAAATGTTTGTGAAAAAAGTCCATAACTAAAAATTGTTTGGAAGGATTTTGATTTCAATGCACCTGAACATTCTTGTACCAATGTGTTATAACATGTTCAAACATGAACCCTTAAATGCAGGTAAGAACGCAGCGCCACCAGTTGAAAGTCAAGCACCATTCAAGTAACATAGAATCCACCAAAATTGAAACCAGAACAAAGTTCATGGTGAAACTTGATTGGGAGAATAAACAAATCATTGATTCTCTGAAACAAGTTTATGGTGATAACGCTCCAAAAAAATCAACAACCTACAAATGGATAAGTTGCTGAAAGGTACCAATTTTCCATCAGTTGAAGATGTAAAAAGAGCTGCTCTGACATGGTTCAGATCACAAGACCCTCAGTTCTACTCAGACAAACTTAAAGGCTGGTATCAACATTTGCAGAAGTGTATTGACCTTAATGGAGCATATGTTAAAAAATAAACATAATAATATGTAATTTGATTATATAAATTTCTTTTAGGTGAATTTAACTAAAATAATATATATTTATGGGCTGTAAATGGACTTACACCATTTTCATAATTAGACAATTGTAAAAATCATTTCATTTCAATTATGAAAAAATTAAATATCACTTAATAT